GGAGAAATCTTTTAAAACGGCAGTTATAAATTTAACAACTAACATTTAAAATTTTTACCTAAAAATTATCTGAAATAAATGAAAACGACATAAATTTTTGTTTAATGAATGTTTTTATTGAAAATTTGTTTTAATTCAATTCAGTTCACATGTAAAGTAACATTAGACAATACAATTTTAAATACTCTTATATCTAACGTAAGTTTTACTGTTGACGGCGGAGAAAAGAAAAGAGTTCGACCTTTTCAGCAGTCTAACTATTTATTTAATTCGATTAAATTCAGTTTCTTTTTTGCAAAATAATTAAGTTAGCGCGAGCAGCTTTAAAAAATTTCGTCTTCTTCCTCTTCTCCGGTGTGTGTTCACAGTCATTTTTCAGGGATGCATTAGGAGAGAAAAATTCTAATATTTCAATGTGGTGAATTTGGTGAACTTGGAGATTTGACGGCAACATTCCCCACCCCGTAAATAATCTCAGGGTTGTTTACCATCATCCAAGCCGACATCCAATGTAGCTACCTTCGTCGCCGGCCTCTCCATCACTCCAAGTTGGGTCTTAATTGTTACTCGCCCCACCTGACCGTCTTTCGCAGTTACTGTGCCGATTACTCTTCCTTTTGGCCACATGTTTCTCGGGAGATTTTCGTCTACGACGATGACGATGCTGCCGACAGTTATAGGTGAAGATTTATAGAACCATTTGACTTTTTGACGTTTGGTGAGCACCGGTGTGTACTCTTTTACCCAACGCTGCCAGAAACGCTCTCCGAAAAGTTGTACTTGATGCCAACGCTGCCTAAGATCCATTCCGTCGTTGCAGGGAGGTTTGTAGCCATCCGCCGATCCCATTAGCAAGTGATTTGGAGTCAGCGCGATGTCATCCGACGACTCGAGGCTTACGAAAGTGAGTGGTCGCGAATTAATAGTGAACTCTGCCTCCATTAACGCGCTTCGCAGACTTTCGTCGTTGAAGGAATAATTCGGGCATATGCTCCGCAAGACGGTTTTCGTCGTTCGAACGAGACGTTCCCATGCGCCTCCCATATGGGGGGCACCCGGCGGGTTAAAGTGCCATTTGATGCGATCGTATTTGACGGTTATCTTGCC